GGTACAGGTTGCCTTGGCAACATTCTAGAAGTCCCAACATGGTGCTAATGGGCACCATGGCTCCCAACAGACATCGTTTCTTGCATCCCAGATGTTTTTAGAAAGTGAACAAGGCCAGGTGGGGGTGTTGCCCAGCAAGGCTTCTGATTGGCTTTGCATAGTTTCCAAAACATTGCTTTGGCAACAGCTGCCACCAGAGCACAGGGATCCGCACTGTGTGATTGAAGGTAAGCTGCGGCAGCCATGTTCTGGCTGATTCCACCTTCTGTGGTAGCCACTGTGTGGCTGTGCCAGAAAAAGTTTGGAGAATCCTGCACTAGGAGGTCAGGTGACGCTTGCAACTTGGACAGGACGCACAAAAACCCTCCGAAAAATATTGGTATTTCCCGATACTCCTGAATCTCAATATCGGTATGGTATTGGGATTCGGGAAATATTCAGGATTGCCTAATTTTTTCAGCTCCATTATACCCTATGGAGGTATAATGTGGGGGCTGAGTGGAGACTCCTTTTTTAGAAATGCTATAGATGTGAATACCAGACCCTTGGGATCACACTCATGCTATGACCAGTGTTCTTTCTAAACTGAGTTAGTGTGATCTAGCTCACAGTATTTTAGCCTCCAGCTCACAGATTTTTGTCTCAGCTCAGGAAGGATGGCTCCAGAGCGAACTAATTTATGCAGTAGCCAAATCGCTTGCTCACAACTTTAATGCCAGTAGCTCACAAAGTAGGATTTTTGCTCACAAGACTTCACAGCCTTTCTCCCCAGTGAGGACCCAAAGTAGCTTACATCATTCCCCTCGCCTCCATTTTATCCTCACAACAACCCTGTTAGGTAGGTGAGGCTGAAAGTGACTGGCCCACAGTCATCCAGCAAACCTCCTTGACAAAGGGGACATCTGCACCATTTGCACCACTTTAACCCCTTTTGAACGAGACTGCTGGTTTAGATTATATGTGCTGTTTCAACAGAGCAATTCTTTGCTTTCTGCAACATACTTTTCCTTACGGACATAGGGAAAAGATTACAGCAGCTTCCCTCAGACAAGCCCAGAAGAGATCAAATAACAGTTGTTCTCTTCAGAGCACACTGTGTTCCATTTCCACTATCTCCGAATTAATCAGTGTGAAGCCAAACACGCCTCATAACACCCCACCAACATCAAGGGAAACCCAGCAACCCACACCTGTGATCCGTGGGGCAAGGCTGAACTTGCGCAGCTTCTGCTCCCATGCATCTTCCAAATCTTGGGCCAGCACAATCTCCTTCCCGCCATCATCATCATCATCATATTTCTCTTTCTTTCGCTGCAGGCGCTCCTCCTCCGCCAGGCAGCGGATCTCGTGGTCCGAATACAAGCTCTTCTCCAGGTCCATCTAGAGAGTAAACCAGAAAGTTATCAGGTCAGGGGCCAGAGCAGCAGAGTTCTGCAAGTCACCTTCCTGTATGGCTCAGGAAATCTACAATATCGTGATTCTGAACATGTGTGACAGGTACTGTCTCATGTTAAAACCTGGGAACCTCAGCTTTTCTGGAGAAGATGGTCAATTCAAAAGCAGTCATGCACTTTTTCATTTTAACACATCAGTTGACACATTCGGAATACCACCACAAGGTAGGCCAGACAGAAATTGTGTGTGATTGGCTCACGTTCACCCAGTATGCTGCCACATACAGAGCAGGGATTCAAACATGGCTCTCCCAGATCCTTGTCTGACACTCTAATCACAACATTAGACTGGTTCTCCTTTAGATTCTAAACCATTCTCTCCTCCCAAAATTTTATATGAACTGTTTACTATTCCAAGGAAAAAAACATTAAACTACATATACTCCTCAACCCAAATTTATCCGTGCACATTAACATGCATTGGAACTGGGCACAAGACTCAACTCATCGTTTTGTTTTTCCTGTGGGAACCGTTATGCATTTTTGATCTGCTGCTAAATTAAGTACTATTAAGCCTACACTGTTGTAAAACTGTTCTCATCTGGATGGTTTGCCAGCCTTCCAGTACTTTGAAAGTATGGTCTGCCAGACTTCCAGTACTGCACTATCAAATATGACCAACATTTCTCAGCAGGCAGGGAGACCAGGTGTTTCCAGTTTGGAGAGCTGGATTTTTCTCATCTCTGAAAAGAGATCTTTAGCCATTTCCCAAGACAGGCTAACTGAGAGATGCGGGATCAAAGATTTTCCAGTGCTTTATTTTTCAGTTTCGGGGGGGGGGGGGGGGTAAAATGTGACCAATTTTCTATGAATTCTCCAGTGTTAATTCTAAGTTCTCCCATGTCCCTTTGAATTCTCTATTCAAAACTTCAGGCTACTGGAGAGGATTCTGTCCAGTCCTTCATCTGAACAGTGCTTGTCACCATATTAAGAGATGAGTTGTTAGACTTCCCCCCGCCCCATACATATGCCCCATCTCTCTTTAGAGATCTGCCAAAATGCTCCACAACCATCTGGAATTTCACCACTGAAAACAGAAACCTCTGTGTGCGACTGTGTGCTGCTGCTTCTCCACAGTTCTGAACAGCAGACTCTTGATCTTGGCCTGTCAAACTAGGGTTACTACATTTTGAAAAGCAAAAAAAGGACATATTTCCCTACTGACTACTTCAAACAAGTGATTACCAGTTAAGGTTGCCAGACCCCAAGAGCAACAACCTGCAGCCAACCCTCTCCCTCCCCTCCTGCCAGATTTAAAGGGCTTCAACTGCTTGGCGGGGAGCACGGGGCCTGCCAATCACCTGGAGGGTCCTTTAAGTCTTGCAGGAGAGAGGGAAAGGGGCTGTTACTGGCTGCCTGCTCTGTAAAAATACCCTTTAAAGGGTGTTTTTGCGAGTAGGTTGGAGGTAGCAGCATGCAGGGCTGATTTTCCAGCAGCAATTGATTCACTGCTTGGGATTCAGGCATGCACGCTGCCACCCTACTTGCAGCCAGCCCTGCATGCTGCTGTCCCATTCACAGTGAGCAGGGCAGCAGCATGCGCACCTGAATCCCAAGCAGCGAATCGCCACTGGGAAATCAGCCCTGGGCACTGCAGCCCCCACCCCGCTCACAAAAAGGCCCACAGAGCATGCGGCCAGCAACAGCCCCTCTCCCTCCCTCCTGAAAGATGTAAAGGGCCCTCCAGCTGACTGATAGGCCACATGCTCCCTGCCAACCAGCTGAAGCTCTTTAAATCTGGCAGGAGGGGAGGGAGAAGGGTGGCTCTGGGTGGCTGCTCTTGGACCCAGAGCTTGGGGGCATTCCCACCCACCCCCAACAAATCCCCCGGCCGGAGCAATGGGGGAACCTGACAGCCCTATTACCAGTGCTCCGCCTCCTTCTAAGATGTGCCGATGAGCAGCTGCTCATTTCTGGAGCCGTGCAGGGTCTTGCACTGCCAGTGGCCCATTTTAAGATTACAGTGCTCCCTCTAAGCTGAGTTAGTGTGAGCTAGCTCAGTCTTTTAGCCTCTGGCTCATGCATTTTTGTCTTAGCTCAGGAAAGATGGCTTCAGAGTAAACTAATTTATGCAGTAGACAAATCGCTCGCTCACAACTTTAATGCCAGTAGCTCACAAAGTAGAGTTTTTGCTCACAAGACTCCACAGCTTAGAGAGAGCACTGATTACAGAGCAGTTATATTCTGCTCAAAATGTGAACTGCTCTGCTCAGTGGGGGGGAAATTAGAGGGGACATTGGTGATCACTGACAAATTTCATTTTAAATACCTCTACTATTTAAGATGTTATAATTGCTACTAAATAGCAATACTCCTAACCTTAGTTCCAATCCAAAAAGAAGACATTTTTATCAAAAAAATTTAAAAGAGCCAAGAGGAAGGATACCAAAAAGGGGGCATCTGGTAGTCCTAGCAAAACGCTCCGTTCGTTTGAATGGACCTGGTTGCATTTATTATACCATATTTGTTGATTAATATTTAAAATGCCCTTGTGCCCGCCAGACCTGGCTCTCGATCGCAAACTGAGCCTCCGATCCGCCCTCTTTTACCTCTCAGCCAATGAAATGTTCCTCCCCGACTTAGCCCCCACCCTTCTCAAGCCCGCGCATGCGTAGCTCCCTCCTTCACCTGCTCCACAAGCTCAGCCATTTCCTTCTCAAACGGGTTCATCGGCTGCGTCACTCTGGGTGGCCTCTGCAAGCAAAGCGCCCCCAGCAGCCTCCATTTCGACCCGGCAGCCACCGAGCTGGAGAGTCCCCGACAGTGGCCACTACCGCCGAAAGCTCCCCAGGTCCATCTGTGCAGGGCCCCGAACAGCGCCCTGTAGCTGGGCGCCGCCATCTTCCCACAATGCACCGCGATGGATGGACGGATGGCACCTCCTCTTCCCACAATGCAACACGGCTCTTCCTGACGGCCGGGCAGCCGCCGTCTCCGTGGGGTTTTAAAATTTAGCTTAGGCGCCACCATTTCTTTCATCCATAAGACGCCGCGAGAAAAACCTTAATTCATACAGGCCCAGGGAGGCAGGAAAGGATAGAGCAGCGAGTTCCGGAAGAGACACCCCCCCCGCGCGCCGCCAACAACCTTTCCCCATTTGGTACCGGAAGTTCCGTCTCTCTGGCCCTCTATCCTCCCATCTCTGTGGTCTGCACGGTTCTCGGAGAGTGGCAGGACGGAGGCGCGGGAGGACCATGATTGCAGTCTTGGCGGCTGCTCGACGGAGGCTTTTGGGGGGCGATTCTGGGTAAGAGATTGCAGGCTGGGTTGGGGGGAGACAGAGTGGAGGGGAAATAGAGAGTCCGGGGGAAGAAGGCAGGAATTTCACAGGCGCCTCCACCACCCCGCCTTACTGTTTCCACGATAAGTTAGTAATATTCATATCTAGTCCTCTCTCCAGCAGCTGAAGGCGATGTGCAGAGTTCTTCCTTATCTGCACAACAACCCTAAAAGGTAGGCTGGATTAGAAAAGAGTCACTGGTCCCTCCAAGGTCATTTCCCAGTGAAGCTCATGGCAGGGGGGAGAATTGAGCCTGGCGTCTTCCCAGCCCACTAACACCCTACCCAGGAGCCTTCCTTACTTTAAGAGTGTTGTGATTACTTACCATTGTTCAAGCAGTATTGTTTATTTCTTTTTCAAAACAAGACATACATTTTGTTATCAAACTGGCATACTGGTGGAATTTCTACCTGGCATCCCCTCGGGTGATTTGTTAAAGACATGCTTCTTGCTCCACTCCAGACAGCTTCACCCCTTGCAGGGAAAATACTTCAGGAAGGGGCCACAGATCAGCAGCACAGCAGCTGTTTGTGATGCAGAGGGTCTCAGGTTCAACCCCCAGCATTTCCACAAGGAGAATCAGGCAGCAGGTGATGTGAAAGTCCTCTGTCTGAGACTCTGGAGAGTTGCTGCCAGTCAGAGTAGACAATACTGACCTTGACTGCCCAAGGATCTGATTTGGAAGAAGTGTGGTCAGAAAAGATTAAACAATAAAGAGCTGGAACATCAAGTATGCAACATGATGGCTACAAGACCCAACGAGAAAGCTGGGATCTCAAAAACACCCTTCAGAAAAAGCAGCTTTATTTATGTTGGTGTGTATATGATACAGATGCATACAGTATACAGATCTCAAGTATACATTCAGTTAGATTCTTGTACCTGACAACCTTTAGCAAACAACAGTCTTAAAAAATAAGTGGAATCTACTGTCTATACAACATGAAAGTCAAAAATGCCATCACATAGATACTAACCCGAAAAACTGATGCGATTAGACAATGAGTCTTCAGTGGTAACTGAATATTAATAGCTTTAAAATTAAAAACTTCCACTAAAGCTGTATCTCATTTCATTTTTTTTTCTCCCCGATGGGGAATTTTTTATTGCATTTTTATTAAAACTACAAACTATAATAGAAATAAGGAAGGGGACTACATTATTTAAGGGAATAAAAACCCAAGAGTGGAGATCTTCTAATCAGCTTAAATACACATCTAGTCTTAATCATATTAATCTCATTACAAACTGAGTCACATAGTCTGTTAACTTTTCCCACATCTTAAATTTAACTGATATCAGGAAATACCCCAAAGCATCTCAATTCAAAATTTTTCAAAGGCACAATTCAGAATCCTTCAGCCTTCACTTCTTGTCCAGTCTCTTCCGCAACTTATAAGGACTTTTAGGAGCTGCTGCCCCTTTCTCAAACAGTCCTCTCCGGAAGAACCCGAGTCCAGCTCGCCACTGGACTTGCTGTCCCCTTCTTTTTCTTCCTCCTCTGGCCCTCCCAGCTGAACTCTTAAAAATTCTCTCGCTTTCAGAACAGTGTCAATCTTTTCTTTTTGATCCTTCATTTTGAATGTGATGCCTTCTGGAATTAACCATCTATATCCAATTGAATTTGTTTGAAGAAAAAGAACAAGATCTTTATATTTCTTTCTCCACTGTCTTATTTCAAATGGAATATCCTTCAGTACTCTGATAACACTCTCCCCAGCTCTCAGGGGTGCTCCAGATACTGCTTTCAGGATTGCATCCCTTACATGCCTCTTTGAGAATCTTATGACAATTTCCCCAGGCAGATTATTTTTCTTTATGTATCCTGAATATGATCTGTAGTCCACCTCCATTTCGCTTAGCAAAAATTCCGCCTTCATCTCTGTCACTGGGGCCAGTATGTCACTCATCTCTTCCTTCAGATTCTCTCCCTTAGTCTCTGGCATGTCCTGAAAGCGAAG